ACAAAGTTTAAGATCAATTTAATATAATATAGTTCAGGAAATGGTGGCTTTAACATGGTTATTCCCAAACTGGCATATCTGGAAAATCAGTTACATACTATAAATAAATCCCGAATGGCAACAGGCTGTTCAAATAAATTGAACTAATGGTATTTTTACTGTCTAAGAAACAGACTGCTGTCTTGTACCATAAAACTACTGAAAGTTTTTGAGTTTTTTGGAGGAGTAAATAATAAAAAATGGGACAAAGTGTTGAAACACAGAGGTAAAAAAAAAAGGGGGGGGGCTAGTTTCTGATTAAATAGTGAAAAATCTGAATCACCATTCAAAATGCAGAATGTTTAATTCAGAATGTTAAAGCTTTCAAAGCTCCCCGAAGTAGCAACAGAAACTGCCCCACTGGGAAGACATTCTGGACATTCTCCATCGCAGCTAACTAGTCTTCTGGAAAAAACACTACATGTTGAACAAGGCATCCTCCTACGCAGGCACTTTGCCAGGCCGTTGCAGAGGAACGGATAGGATGGTTTTCCACTCCGGAGAACCTCTTCCCGAGTGCTTTACAGCTTGGGGAAGTCCTGTTCATGACTGGGAGTGCAGAGGCCAGAACATACCCTGCAGGTGACAAGTTCAGCAGGTACCAGCTCCACAGAGCTGGTGCTGACATCCACACACCAGAGTCCTTCTTCAACCTGAGAGCCTACAGCACTTGCCTCAAGAGCGGATCTCCCCAGCTGCTCTTTCTGCCTAGTCTCACTCACAAGCAGGACAATGACCAAAGTAAAGCATGGCCTGCGCTGAGCCAGCAACTGAGCAGGGAGGCAGGTCTGGGGAAGAAGGAGGGCGAGCACCCATGTGAGGCGGAGAAAGGCAGACGGTGTTGGGTGATCCTGCAAGAAGCAGCTGGCCAAGCAGAGCTCATCCTGCACTGCTGCCCACAAGTATCTGTTGCAGCCTTCCCATGTCACTCAAGACCAACATGGAGGAAAGGAAGGGAAAAGAGGGAGGAATCGCCTTTCCCCTCCCTCAGCGAGGAGGGAGGCCAGCCAGCACTTCCAAAGCCTGCACAGGCTCGAGGCGGCAGCTGAGGTAACTGGGAGAGCGACGCAGGTGGCTAAGGGGAAGTTAGACCTGATCAAAAGCTTTAGCAGGAGTCCCTGCCATGCAAAGCTCATCAAAGGAGCACTAGATTATTCAAAAGTGCTAAAACTGCTATGGCATTTCACTCAATAGGATGTTGCCTTGTAAAGCCTTGGAAGCAGAAAGAACTCCTTTCAGCAGGAACTGACAAGCTTCCCTCTAATAGCAGAGGTTCATCTGCAGAGGGACAGGAGGAATCTTGTCTAAGATTTGTCTAACATATCTCCCCCTTTCATGTTGAACTTAGGCCTGCAGAAAAGCAGGGGAAAGAGAGGAAGAACTTTAATCCATTATCAAAACTTTGCAGAGGGGCAATAACCATATACAGATTTTTTTTTTTTAATATGAGAACAAGCATCTAACCATGGAAACATTATTTTACTCACTCTGCCATGCGATTTCTCCTAATCACCAGGTGTGCAGCTAGTCAGAACATTCAGACTCCAGAAAAACAAGGACCAAAAATCCCCAGTTGTCAGTATTCTTTGGCAGGTATCAATCAAATCACAGGTTCTAACAAAACATGCACATTACTAATTGTAGGAGGGGAGGTTATGCAATCCAGTACTATAACTGGAATGCACCAAGTAAACTGCGAATAGCAAAGATCTCAGTAATTCACCAAGCAGCTTGATCTGGTGCGAAAGGTCTCTCTTAGTTCTGGAGTTAAGAGTTTTACTTAGAGTAACTCTAATTGTTAGAGTTGAAGAGTGTGTCAGTTTTCTTTGGCTTTCTCTTGACACCACTACCAATCATGTATTTCAAAATAAGTCACCTGGTACCATCCAAATACCTCAAGGAGCTTTTAATGGCATTAACTTTTCAAAGACTACAGTCTTTACAATAATATATAAATACAGCAAAACAGTTTGGGAAGTCTCACAAACGAAGCAATGGAGACGTTCAGATTGAAGTGACTTGTTCTAAAAGGGCTCTTTGAAACTAAGACTAGTGGCAAGGTCCTCTCTAGCACCACTTTGAAATTTTCATTTAATCACGATGAAAAAAATGCCAATGGCAAAATACTGGTATAAATGAAAATTTGCTTTACAAGTGCCTGTCCTACTAGCTTGCCATGAGATCAATCCCTCAGGAAAACCTAGCTAAGTACTATCAAAGTAGGCAAGTGCACTGCACTTTCTGGAGATTATGAGTAGCATCTTTTCCCTAAGCTGTAACTCTAGTTCTCTGTCACCTAGCCAGCCTTGATGATCCTTAAGTAGATAAGCAAACAGATCCATCTCCACAGGAAGCAAGATTAAAAGGTTTATTGCTACTATGACAACAGCCAGATTCTGCTGTTCTTAAAATAGTTTGGAAACCAAACAGTTACTGGAAACGCATATATGGCTCCCCTACAGGATTTATCCTGTATTAGCTACAGCCCTCCAAAAGGAAATTGTGTTTTATCACAGAGTCTACTTTTTGGATGCTGTTTTTTCAGGCACTTTAATCCCTTGTTACGGGGGCTAAGAATAGAAAGCAGCTAAGGGCACCGTGTCGCCGTGTGGCTGTGATTACAGCGTGAGCAGAGATTACTGCTGGGAGCTTGCAGCAGACACCGAGACAGCCCCTGCTCTCAGGGAGCACTGGCTTCCTGCCCGCGGGTGGTGATGAAGTGCAGTGCACCTGGTGGCCATCAGCCCTCTGGCTGCTTCCTGATGCCAGGTGCCAACCTCTCCTCACCTTACAAACCTCCCCCTGGACATGTGTGGCTATCCTCTTCCATATAACCTTGAAGTCATTCCTCTCATAAAAAGCAACTGAAAGTACAACTGGATACACGCTAAGTATGATGCAGTAGTGTCAAATGTTAAGTTTATAATCAATAACTAGATGATAACCATATGGCCTCTACTTGAATAGGCTGTTTGATTAGTAATTTTACTCTGGAGTTGACCTAAATAAATCATTGATTATTATTAATAGAGTTTTGATGTTCTTACACAGGTGTTACATTAGATGAAGATCCAGCTGAGCTCAGTCACACTCCAAGTATATTCATGCTGACTTGTGCTGTAAGAGCTGTAAGAAGCACAGTGTTTAATTCTGACTGTAGCACTAACCAGATCAAAGAGGGTCATCCTTATCTAATACCACCACAACCACAAAATTAATATGAATACATAAGTCTCTTTGCTCTTCTTGACACAGTTTAGATTAAAACCATACTTCAAAACAAAGAGCAAATCTAATCAAATTACATTTGTACTATCCATTAGCCTGTCTGATGCTAAGCTGAGGTCATTTTGTCATCTTCCTACAGCAAAAGGAGGATTAAAAAGACAATGACCAAATTCAGGATGCGAATAACTGATTATTATCCAAACAAGAAAAACAGTTTTGTTAGCTCCAGTTAGCAGAGACGGCTTCTTTTCTCTCTAGAGTTCAGAAATTCTGGACATTTACAGACCCGATTTTGCATTTAAACATACCTTTTATTACAATTTCTACATAATTAAAAAAAAAAAAAGAAAAGCTAGCAATGACAGCTAAAGAGCCAGTAGAATTCGCCATAGCAATTTAAGTTGTCATACAAGAAACTCATACGCTTTTGTCCACAGATTACATTGAAAGTGGAATGGAATAAGAAATTGGTCATTGAATTATAACATTAGAATCACACTCTCTCAGTTCAGTATATGACATTAGGATGATCAAATAATACCAAGGAAGAACCTCAAATTAGGCTCTAAATCTCACTTTTAGAAATTTTATCTCCAAAAATATTTCTAAAGTATTTCATCATATTAGACCCTAAAACTAGGTCAGAATTAGCAAATTCTTGCACTGTCATCAACTGATTTATTTTTCCCCTGCAAGCCCTATGCACTTAAAGCTTATGATAAATCTAGAGATAGTTAAAAAAAAAGATTAATATGTTTCTTGACACAATATGACCATCAGGAAAAAAAAACAGAAATAAAGCAGCAAGTTTTGAGCGTTTGCTGTTTCTTGGTGAAAGAATCTATGAAGTTAAGACCTTTACTGAATACTTTTCCTCAAATCTTAGAGGAAACCAAGTTTCATGTTTCTATTCGCCGTGAAACAGCTGCATTCTTGACAAATTATTCATTATTATTTGTTCTCCTCTGGTCACAATAAAATAGAAATTATACATTTATGCAGAGACAAGGCAATCTCCCAAACAAGCATCTTCAATATGAATATTAGTAATTAGCACGATCTACAGTTTGCAGTGCATACATTTCCAAAATAATATTAAAAAATGCTCCTAGGGAAGAGTTCTTTTTCTAGCCTAGTGATATGAAACCAGCAGTTAGGTAGCAATACACAGAACTGTTAATGAAGTGTATTCTTTCTGAGCATCTTAAATATCTATTTTTCCTGCGTAAACTAATTCTCATCATGCAAGACAGTGTTCAATTATAAATTCATATAACTTTTTTCATACCTTAATTATATCTCATGGGGTTTTGCAACTGGCTTTGACTCTGTAAATAAATGAAAAGTCACTTTTAAAAGAAAGTATTTCAGCAGAAACCAGTTTGAGGAAGTTTCTCTTTTGGGAAATAAAGAAGCTACTTAAATATCTTAAGACAAGAATCTTACTCATTAAATGCTAAATAAAGATGCTAACAGTGTTGAGGCCTTCATGAACTTTAAGTTCAAAAACAGTGGCTTTAAAATAATATAATAAAGGCAAGGTAGGTTAGGATCCATGCAATTTTATTTTAATAATTAGACAAATACAGGAAAAATTGCAATAATCTATCAAAACTTTATCTTATCAAGAACCGGAAAAGTATTTAAAAAACATTCACATTCAATTCAGATTATGTACAAACCAGTGTTTGTAAAAAAAAGAAAACAGCAAATGCTTTGAGTGTAAAGGAATACCATTCTAATTCACATTTCAGCTTTCTCAATGACCAAATTACCATTGAGATGCAGCCGCAGTGCAGACATGTTCCACAGTCTCTATCAGTCTTGTTTCAATAGCAACACTGCCAGGAGTAATAGCTTTTTTTTTTTTTTTTTTTTTTTTTTTAAATAATGCATTTGGGTAAGTTTCTTCATACAGTACCGTCCACCTAAAATGAACTTCCGAGTAGTTATTTCTTCATGGCAGTAATGGCAGAACAGTTCTCCCCTGCAGACGCAGAATCCATACTCTGTACATCCAAGAAATACCCAGCATTTGCTTTGCACATCTAGGAAATCACTCATTTTTAGTGGAACACAGCCCTTGAATATTTGGCTTAAAGGAGTCAAGATCTGCCCAGCCAGAATGTGCTACAGTAAACAAGTACACACCTGCAAGGTACAAGAATTTGAGTGCTACCTTAAGAGCCATGCATAGCTATGACAGCATCATACACCTTTGTAAAAAGCAAACAAACAAACAAACAAACCCAGCTTTTGGGAATGTTTTGGGTTATTTTTTCTCTGGATTAAGTAACTCTCCAATGAAAAAAGTCGTCACAGGAAGAGACTAATCGTTAAGGCAAGCTGGAAGGGGAGAGTAAGCTGTCAAGATGCTCAGTTTCAAAACAAAGCTATTGAAATAAATAGTTGGTCTGTTTGGGGCACTTAAGAGATGACTCCAGCTACCAGAGCTGCACAACAATTCTTTCAGAGCTACAGGCCAATATACTGATGCATTAACAACAACACTGCAGACGACATAACAGAATTCTTTCTGTTATCCCAAGCTAGCCAAGTTGAAATGGTTCAAGAGCTATAATCCAACTGGTGTTTTAAGACAAAAGAGCAAGAAAAAAAGGGCTCCCACCTTCATACTTACATAACAACAATTCAAATTCAAGAAAAAAAAAAAATCAAAACCCCACAACAACCCAAACCATTTTTAACTGAGTTTTCCGTATCTGAGTCCTGCAATAGCCTTTACCTGCAAGATCTCATTTGGACCAACCAACCATGCCTCTCCGTAAGTGAGCAAATCTAGAACATTTGCCTCGGTTTTGCATATCCTGGTTTCTGAAGGTATAATCAGGACCTGGGTTCAGACAGCATACTTTAACATACATTGGGCTAGACTTGAAACAGCTTTCCCTTTTCCTATTTCTTCATTTTGAGATTCAAATACTGAAACCTGAACAACAGTTTCTGTGATTTCGTAGTCTCCAGCGCTGTAAGTCCACACTAACTTGGAAATCAAAACTCCGGGAGAGCAGAAAACAACTTCAGAGAGCGGAAGACTGACAATTTAGTGTTCAAAGACTCTGAGCTCTTGCTCAGGCTGTACATCTAACATCCATTCAAGTACGTGGAAAGGCTTTTCCATATTTTATGTATTCTAAAGCAACTTCTATTGGAGTCATTGCTTCTGTGGTAAAAAATTAAATCAAACCCACAGGCAATAATGATGACTGTTGCATTTCACTAACAACTCGGCTGACACCTGGCTCAGATATGCAAACAGATCCTAGCAGTACCAACTCTTAGCAAACCTGTTCCAAACACCAAAACAACAGTTAGCATGTCCAACAAAACACACATAGAACTTTTCATAGGTATAATGCTTGTGAAAAGAATAAGTTACAATAGTATGAAAAACAACTCAAGTCATGTATAAAAAAGCCTGTTTTAAGGCAGGCAAAACATGGAACAGTGAATGAAGCTTGAAAAGAGAAGGAAGTTTGACCTGAAAAGTCAGCGTGAGCAACTGGGATATGATTACTTTATTAATGCTATCCACAATGAATTATCATACAAATGAGATGAATAAAGTACTTTAGAGGAGACAAAACAGTGTATCTTATTTTTTACGCAGGTGGAGGTGCTAACATAGAGTCAGCACATCATACTGGACAATACAGAGGTGTTTCCAAGGACAACCAAAGAAAAGGTTTTGGTTTTAAAGCGAATTTAAACATCGCACCCTTTATTCCATAACTTGGGCAAATATTTGAAAGCATCTGTGAGATCTCAGTCCTTCAAATCCGGAGGCACTGAAACAAAGCCCCAGGGAAAGAGCAAAGGGAGTTTGCTTCAGGATTCTGACAGTTGTTCTGTCTGGCAAGAACTCCAGTATCTGGATGCAGGTAAAACGGAATGCCTGTCAGGAGGATCCACTTCCTGTGCTTTGTTCAGAAAAAACAGACAAACAAAAACGGACTTGTGCAGACTAAAACAAACTACAACAAAACAAACTTCATCTCATGTAAGTCTCACTTCCAAGCCATTATTCATAAACAAGCTCTTTCAAATAAAGAACAAAACAGAGGTTACAGTTTTAAGGTAAGAAGCAATTCTTTTTTTCTTGCAGGAAGATCAAAAACCCGTAGCTTCTTCTCAGTGATTTTGAGTCATCGTTCATTTCTCCAGTCTTCTGTTCCTCACACGAGATAGAATTAAAGAGGGCCACAGATTTTATTCCTTGGTAACAATAAGTCATGTCTCATCTAACTTACGAATTCTCACCAATAAAGTTACTGCATGAAAAATAAATCCCTGCCCAACCTGAGATGTTAGAAGGTTGGGTGATCAAGACTTCAGACTGAGGCAATGGTCAAGTCAAGAGAACTTGAGAAAGAGCATTCCCACATTTTAAATTGTTGTAGACTAGATCCCTTCAGCTATGTTTTGGAAGAGAAGCTTTTGAAAGAAACATTAGAAGTGCTACAAATAGCACTTTAGCCTGTACATCTAGCAGGCTGAACTCCAGCAGGAACTGCTAGGGATGTCTGCTTCTAAGATGATCAATAAAACGAACTTAAACTATATACAGTGCAGACTGTGTTGTTAGTGGCTGTTCTCAAATGCAGGGTTCGAACTGTGTGCTAGCAAAATGCTTTGCAAAAGCACAAAGAGTAAGTCCTGAAATTGCCTTTGAATGCAGTTCTGTAACCTTTCAGAATCAAAGATCCAAATTAGGACCTCATGATCCTCTTATGCCAAACGATTCAAACCAAGTCTTAAGTAGCTACATAAACTGGAGCAGCTCTACAGAAGGTGCACTCCACACGTGAGAATGCAAGGTATTAAAACTGAGAAAAGACTCTAGTTCCAGTGCGAAAAAAAAAAAAAGCTTTTTAAGTTACTAAACCAAGCACATTTAGGCACAGAGGCTATGCAGTGGTGGAGCACCCTTTCAGAATGACAGATTCTCCCTTCTGTTGATTTGCTATAATGCAAAATCCTTTCTCTCATGACCCAAAGCGGAATCAGGACTCAGCGGTCAAAAATCACTGAAGGACTTAAATTGGGTTCCGTCTCTTCAAATGGTTTGCAGCCAACTTCCATTTGATTTATCAGCTTCCTCTGTTAATGTCAAGGAAGTCCCGAGCACCCTTAATGCTGTGGAAAATAACCAACCTGTGGTGAGAGAGAGAGCATGTTGCTGGTGGAAACATCTGCAATTTTCTAACACACGGTCCTTACCAGAGTCAGGTTTATCAGAGGGCTTCTGACTGCACTCGGTTTAGACCATCAAGAAGAAACCACATTCACACAGGGGGAAAACAAAAATCACATGGTGCCCAGTGCAGCAGCTGTCTCAAGAAAAATGGGAGGAAGTTGTAATGATTCAGGCTTGGAATCTTGAGTATTAAACTTCAGTTTCTCTTGTGGAGAGAGGGAAAAACATTTTTCCTCCTCCCACATTTGCTACAAATACAAACATCCGTAGAATACCAGCATCACGTGTGCTAGATATAAAACTGATGGAATGCTAGCTGGTCCATAAAGGGCTGCACCAAGTTATCTGTGGCAAAGTAAAAAACTAGCCCAAAAGTTATGGAGATTGGAAGAGCTGGTAAGGCCTTCTTAAAGATGGCAAGAAGCAGAAGTGTAAGGCACAGACCCTGAAGGAAGGGAAAAAAAAGACAGGCAAAAATTAGGGAACTCTGATGATCAAAAGATTACGTACACATAAACACTAATGGAATGGCTTGTACAACATTTTTCTTCTCTGTTTGGAACTAACTGTTGCTTATTAACAACATCCCGTTCAAAAAAAAGCAAAACGTACTTATGCTAAAAATTGCACACCAATATAGAGCACTTGCATGCCTCCCTAAACTAAAGGAATAAGTGATGGACATACAGACAGTAAAAAAATCACAGTTGAAGCCCTCATCTGTTTGCAGTCAGGCCACCAAAGAAACAAATCCCAAAGGAAAAAAAATAGCAGTTATGACTATTGTGACTATTATCATATTATACTCACAATTAATATGGCTACAAAACAGGCTAAAGTTGTGTTCCAGTCCCCGCTTGCTGTTGCAGAGGCTTTGCCAACCAATACGCTGTAGAAAATGAAGTCTCCTAAACCAAGCTTTACTCCTCCTGCAAGATGAGTATATAGCAGCATTAAACATCAGTCTACTAATATAATGACTGTAACAGTCATTATGAGAGAAGGAGACAGACTTGAAGTACCAAAACAACATGCTAAACATATTTTGTACTTTGATAAATAGTTGCACTCTTGCATCAATTGATAAACATTTATAAGGTAAGGTAGCTGAGAAAATTATACTACTCAGCTAATTCATCCTATAAATTTGAATTTTTCTATACTCCTGTCCACAAACTCAGAAATTTCTACTGCAACTCTTAAGGATTTGTTTCTACTTCTAGTTCTCACGTCACAGTAGGATATGGAAGTAAAATTTCTTTAAGTTGGTCAAAGGGGAGGAGGAAACAAATCAGAATTGCTGCCTTTAGTTTACTGCCAATGTAAAATCCTATGTGCATCAAAATACTGCACTGTCCTCCCAAATTTCCTGCAGAATTCCAATTACAATAGTCCTAAAAAGCACTTGTGTAATTAAGCATATTACAGAGCCAAAAACATATTTAGTCTAAGATCCTTGTAAAACTCATGAGTTACTATTATATTTTAATAGTAATTAGCAACAGCTTTGTGAGCAGAATATTCATTTTCTTCTGCATTAATAATAACAACAGGATCGATTTCCTGAATATCAGTTGGGTTTCTGGGCTTTTAAGAGACATTAAGTCAGAGAGGTTTGCAGCAACTTAATTTGTAGTTAGCTTAGTGATATTGAACTTGTGAGTCTGTACATCCAATGAAAAACTGGGCCATGCTCACTATGGCAGGAATACCAGGAGATACCCAAAAGCAGCTCCATGTACTTCTGTAGAAGCCTGGAGATACTGATCAAGATACTGAGCAAGAAGAGCTCTTCAGCTTGCTACTGCTCCCCCCACACCTTATTTACTACCTTCACATACACCAGTCTTTCAGACCGAGTACTCCATACTCACGTTCTTCAGGGTCTTCACTTGTTTGAGAGTTACTGGGTAGAGTCTGAACAGCAGCACGTGATTCAGGTGTCGATTCAATGGGGCCTATTCTACTGTCCCTTTGTTGCTGCCATTCCTGACTAAAGCCACCATCATCTGCTTCAGCACTGTCATTCTGAGGCTGGCTTCCTGGAGCCCAAAGGAAGAAAGTAATTTAAAATCCACTGCAAAAATATCAGCACACACCATTAAGAAGATTCTCACTTGTGACTTTTAATATTTTTTAACATTCATAGGAATAATCATGTACTCTGTAGTTACTACATATCTAGATGGTGTGCTCAAGCTCTAGTGTTCTGCAGTACATTGCACAGAGTAGAAGCTCTGTGGCAGCCCCATTTCTAAATAACAATTTAGGGAATTAATTCACACTTAACACTGCATTAGTTTCTCTACTTAGGAAAACGTGGGAATCAGATCTCACAGAAAAGCACCATTACTGGGTAGTTTTATGATATAAACCAAAGATGAAAATCTGATGGCTTACTTTTCCAATAAAATAGAAAAGTGTATTGAAAGTTGCATATTACAGCATATACATATTCATTATTCTTAATAAAGATTCTGCTCTTTCATCCTTCTAGAGCAACCAGCCTATCTAAAAAGTAGGGGAAAAACAAACACACACACAAACATCTCCAAAAACATACCTGCCAATAAAATGACAACTCCAAGACCTTTCAAAGAAAAGCTTACCTTGTTTATCGTAAGTGGAGTTTTTGGAAGTTTTCCGCTGGGCTTCTGGATCCTCCTCAGCCATGTTCACTAGCCAAACCATCGTGGCTATTAAAAACAAACAGTCTAGTTAAGTATCTTCAGACATATGCAGTTCTGAGTCAGTGCTGGCATCGATCCACTATTTTTCCATTTTTTGGTGTAACTACCTTCTGTTGCAGGCAGTTCTACTCTCATTATAGTAGTATCTGGAACATTACCAGTGCTAGCTGCAACATGCATATACTAAATTTGATGCTTACAAGTTTTATATTTAGCAGATGTTGAAAAAAATGGCAGCAGCTGGGTTGTAGAGGCCTTAAAGGAGCTACTTTTAAGGCTTACTCTGAAAATCCAAATCAATAATTTCTTTTCTTGTTCCCCACTAAAAGGGGACCAGCAGTGCTTGACCCCCAGCAGTGTAATGCTTTATAGCTAGCCTGCAGTGAGGCTCATAGTTGGATGTGTTACCCTCACAATTCTAACTAGTAAAATGGAAACTAAATCAGTGTCCAATAACAACATAAAACTATTAGCAGTATCAATTAAGTATTACAACAATGATTAAAATTATCTGCTGATTGATACAGAAGATATAACAGCAATTTGCATTCAGTAGATTATTTTTAGCAACTTTAGGGAGAAGTTGCTAAAACTTGTTAAACAAAGTGCTTGCTAAAACAACAACAACAACACAATCACACATCTTGCAGAAAATCATGTGGCAAATGCATCTTTTCCTGGCAATTTTCCCCTATTCCCTTTAATAATACACAGATTATTTAAGCATCACAAGTAGATAAATATTTTCTAAACAGAAGTATTCCCTTTGAACATGTTTGACATACAGCCTAATTACATACAACTTTGGCTAAAATAAGTTTTGTTATCATTTTTCCTGTTTCTACTTAATAAGAACAGAATGTGCTGATTTTTATCTTTTAAGATATTAGCCAGAAGACATTCTATGTTTTTTGAGTCAACAGCAAAAGGATAATTGAGGCCCAAATGAACACAGCGAGTTCCAGCTGTGAGAACATATCTAAAATGAAGGAAATATGAGAAAACTCCTCCTCTTTAGCTGATTGTAAACTTAAAACGCTTAACAAAATATACTTACAGGAGTAAATAAGTGCTGGGAAGAGAGTTTCATTTCTCTCTTGAGCTGTTTCAACTAGCATACGAAGAGGACCTTTAGGACAGAGTACAGCAACCAAATCTGGAAGGGAGAGCAAACAACACTTGCATCACTGTAGACATGCTTTAAGAAGGTTTGTATATGATGCATCTTGCAGAGATTGGTAAAAGGATATGTGTGTCAAAATGCTGCCTGTGTATACATTGAGAGAGCCACTGGCCAGACAGTCACAGGTGAGCATCCCACAGGAAGTTAAAACTTCTCCTTAGTCTGACTTTTGGACCAAATGTAGTCTACGTAGATCTTTGCCAACTACTCACAGTATCTGGGCTGGGGAACAGATCTCTGCTGCTCTTCACGCCCTTCCCTGCCTCTTTCCACCTCTTCCTCATGTGCCATGTGCATGAACACATAAGCACTAGCAACACCAGAACATGTCCCTAGTCTTAGGGCTTGCACATCTGCGATGCACGGAAGACCAGCTAGACCATCTTCACCACAAAAAAAAATTGAAGATGATAAATTGATTTCTTTGGTTCCATTTTTATCTCCCAGTTGTGTTGAATATTTTTTTGAAGAGTCTACATTTCCCCTACACAGTAAATAGTTTAATTGCTAACTCTGAAACATAGCATGCACACTAGACATTTAGTTTGATGCTCCATTACATGTGTGATTAAAATGATTCCTCAAGAGCTTGCATGAGCTCAGCAAGCCCTCAGCACTTTTTTTTCAGCCAGCACACACATTTGCAGGTCACAAAAACCAAAACCAGTAAAGAACATTTTTGTACATGCAAAGGTGTGGGACTAGCAGAAGACAACACACAACCCTCCCTCACAGATGAGTGGAGGGCTGGAAGAGGGAATCCTTAGTGTGGGACCACTGAATTTGTCGTACCTCCCTTTATTCAAAGCAATAAAGTTATGGTCTTGGAATATGATCTCAAAAGGTAGTTTTAGGGCAGTCATGGAACAAAGACAGAATGCTTGGTAATGAGATTTGTTTTGGTTATTAAATGGGTGGTAATAGAGTGGGGTGGCTGTTCTAATGTGCCTTTTGATCCATGAGCACACGACAGACATTTTTGCCTCCCTCCAAAGAAAAAGAATACTAAACATTGGTGTACTGCAGCTAATGAAATCTTATTAACCCAGCATTCCTAGAAAATGAAGAATCTTCATCTTTACCATCACAAGTGGCTTTCAGAGTACACAATCATTAGACTCAAATGCTTCTGAATAAATTTAAGTTATGACAATGTCTTCAAGAATATATTTGGCTGTAATGTTTTAAATTATGTCTAAATACTTGAATTTTAACCTTGTCTTGAAACTAAGTCCCTTGGTTACAGAGTTACTTGGGTTACAGAGTGACTTCTTACCAAGTATCCAGTGTCCTCTAAAGTTTTATGATAAAACTTCACTTACAGATATTTTATCTGTTAACATTCACAGAAAGCAAAATACACAATTTAAAAAAAAAAAAGGAAACAGATCACATGACTATCTTTAATGTGTAAAATGATTTTGAGCACTGAAAACTGCCTTAAGTTCTTCCTTGATTCTTCTCCAGTGTCTTATAAGTCATGGATCAGGATAATGCTTCTATGTCCTTAAGACACAGGGTGATTCTGTGTGACTGAGCAGATCTATGACATGAATCTGTAAGAGAGGTGACAAATTCCTAAATTCCCACCATAATTTCTAGTACTGTGTCTCATCCTAGACCTTACCATACACTGAAATGACAGCCAGGATAAGCCACGCAGTCCATTCGGGAAGGTACTTGATGAACACTAAGGCCATGAGAGCGCTTATCATGATGAGATAGGCTTGCTGGAGCCGAAGCGGACCTTTCCAGTGGATACAAATCATCCCCACCACACCAAAGTTCCAGATCATGAGTGCCAGTGTGATGTAGTCCATGGCAACATTGTAAGTCTTAAAAACCTCACTAAAAATATGGAAAAGAATAAAGAGGATTGTATTAGCTTAAAAGAATGGAAACAAAGCTACAGATGTGAGCTTCAGTTTTGGTTTTGCTTTTTTAATTAAATCTTCCCACTCAGAGTATGAATTGTGAACTACTCTTTGTAAAAGGCGTATTTTAACAGTGTTTTCTTCAGAGAAAAAATAAGATTCAAAAGCTAATTCTAAAAAATATTAAATACATGAAATATGACATACTAACACATTAATGCACTTACCCCAGGTAGATGAATGAGAAAAAGAAAAGCAGCAAAAGAGAAGAAATGATAAGCCAGCCATGGATCACCTGGAAAAGATATCAATACAGACAGTTTTTAGATTTCATATTTTAAATGTAATATTATGTAAAAGTGTTTTAAAGTTATTCTGCCTTTTGATTAAAGCAGGAAAATGACATTTTCATCTCTTTGGTTGTTACTCTGACACAGTAATTCACAGATAGTCATTTAATTGTTGTGTCTTAATTTACTTATTTTCTCTGAATTGTGGGGTTTTTTTTCAATTAAGATGTAATAAAACAAACAACTTTTTTTGTATTTCTAAGCCCACTCTGATCTTACTGGTTTCATAACACAGCAGAAGTACTCAGTAGTAACAGAGATTGAAAACACGGTTCATTTTGTGCAACTGAAAAATCTGCAATTAAAAACCTAAAACTGAAAACCAAAGGAGCATTAAACACCAAAAACAAAGACAAACCTTCAGTGTTTATTCCATGGAGTTCAGAATTAGTATTTCACTGACGAATTACTATAAAGCGATTTATTTTTATCATGAATTTCTACTTTCTCTACAGAATCATCTCTATATATCATCATTAAACTGTAGAAGACAGCAGATATCTCTGCCCAACAATTTAAAAAAACGAAATTTCAAGGTTGTACTCTAAGGGGGAATGCATTGATTTAAGCTTTGGAAAGATGTGACCTCAGACCTTGCACTGAAGAGAGAACACTATGACTGTCCAAGATTAAAAATAAAACAATCAAATAGACTTGTAACTTGGGCAATTTTTCAATTGAAAATGAAAAAATTGTTTGCCAAATTCACAGATATGCAAAAGAAAATATAAAAACAGACATAATATTACAAGCAGATAAACAATCAGAAGTGATCATTTTGAAATTCAAACAGATTCTAAAAAAAAAACTGAATCTTTCGATCTGGTATGTATAAGTGTATATAAGTATACTTTAAGCAATTTATTTTCCACTCAGCCTCTGAGATTATTTTATGGCTTTTTTTTTGTTTTTTTTCTTAAGAAATTTGTCTTTTGTTTCTGGTTACATGAAGGATGTGCATTAGAATCTTTTTTATGTTATAGATTTAAAAAACATTCATTTTGCAGAGACTAATTTGAAAATAAAACCCATGTGCACCGACTAGAATAACCACATGTACATGAAGCAACATGGACTTCCAGCAAATTAAGATTTTTAGTTTACTTTCTATTAAGAGTATTTTAATAAGTGCTTTAAAAGTTCTCAGTAATTTTTTAAACATTAATTCTCATCCTCCAGGTTATGTTTCATAACATGTCCCAAATTTTAAGAGAAAGCAAAGAAAGTTGTATCACTTCTTTAAATATGACTTCTATTTGTAGCATAAGCTCTTAAGGTAGCTTGCAATCCAAGCAAATAGACTAGCACGTCCCACAGGTGAATGCTGCTGCTCTGTGCCAGTGAACAGTAGAAAACGAGCAGTGTCAAACACCAAGCCTTAGTCCAGCAAATGTTTACACACACTGTTGTCAAAAGTACTAATGGAGGCAACCGTTTATATTGTACATTTCATGCACAGATATTTGCTTTCCCATTATGTATCTCATTTGCTATCACAGTTTTCAAAGCACTCTTTTCATACAAGTGATATTTCACATAAGTGCTGGCTATCATTTTTCTAAGTGTGTCATGACAGTGTATCACTTGTTGATTTTAGATTATTAAGATTTATTATTATTATTATTATTATATAGATCAAGGCAGAAATCACTGCCCTAGGGATCCTGCAGCTACCCAGGAAAGAGCATTCAACCACAGTTAACCCATTTTCCTCTCTTGAAAGCAAAACAAAGTGGAACAAAGCTTTGTGTCAGCACATAGATCCCAAAGACAGAGTCACAACTATGAAACAGGTGCAGGGGTCCAACTGCACCCTGGTAAGTTCTGTTACGTGAAGCCTTGTTAAATGGGTCAACTAAGACCAAATGATAACTAAGAATTTTCATGAGCAGCTCTCGGACAGTTGACGTGGCAATTAATCACTATGCCATGCCTGGACTTGCCTAGGTTGCATCATTAGGTGCTTGAAGGCTTTCACAGAACAGCCTCCTCAGCCCTGTGTTTGTTCTAAGGACATGGGCTGATGCGCAGGGCCTCGCACGCAGCAGTTTCTGGACACTGCTCTATGCTGCGTGCAGGATGTGCAGGAGCGGCTCTTCGAAACGTGCACAGCTTTCGAGCTCTGTGACCAGGTCTGTGCTTTGCAGTTCTTAACTGCAGAACAAATTCCCTACGTGGTCCAAGGAATAAGAAGCTTTGTGTTGCTCTAGCCAAGAAAGCAGCTGGCAATGGTGGCACTGGGTCATCATCTCTCCATTCTGGCAGAGAAAGGTGAACCACAGAACTGAAACAGCTCAACTTAGCAGTTCTGCTACTTTTGCTAGCCCATCCCTAGCAACCCTTCATTTTGTTCCATCCTTGATAATCCATACTAACAAATGAAACAAAATCAGTACAACCACTCAAGTCAACTACACGTTTGCTCACCTTATAGCACCTGTACTTGTAAAGCACAACCAAAAGAATGGTCATGACAATGATGACGCTGATCATGATGGCAGCATTGAGAATGGAATTCAGGGCTCTCTGTCCCACTGTCTCTGTCTCTTCTGTGAAAGGAGTGTAGATGCTATAACGAGAAAGAGTCAATTGAAGTGTCACTGTATATTCTGCCAATATTCCTCATGTGTGAGGCCAGGATCAAATGAAAGTTCAGTAATCTTTTAATTAAGAGCTGCAAAAGTGACCATAATTTTCTGCTTAGGCAAAACTCGCAAGGCGACATAGTACGACATCAAGCAAGCTTGAATTAGGAAAACAACTATCATCCTCCCTAAAAACATTTGTTATGTCTACATCCTTAGATTACTGTGGCTTTGAAAACATTATGGCTATTTTCTGCTTTGTGAAGCAAAAAAACCCCACCTTTTTTGATACAATCAGTCATTAGACCATTACTGTAGCTAGGCTTTTATAAGCACTCCATCTAGTGGATTTACAGTGAAAAGTATTCTCATGATTTCAAAAGACAAAAAAAAAATGCAAGAGCTCAACTCTTTTTCTCAAGAGAAATACCATAAGCTGAGGAAAAGAAATACCACAAATAAAATCTCAGGAAATATAATTGTTTGATCAAAAAAAGTTTCAATAAAATACAAACAACTTCTTCACTATCCTTTTACCACATTCTTATGTTATACAAATATTTCAAAGCCAAGCAATACTTTGGATCACCTTGTTTAAATGTTTTTACAGTGGAACATTTAGACTGATCTGCTCTAGCTGTGACAGGCTCAATGTTCTTCCTTTGTCTCCCTTCTCCCCAGCCAGTTTTCAGTGAAACTGCTGCTTTTTGGTAACATTAATATTTTGCCAGAACAACCTCTTTCTATACAGAAAGCAAAGCCTATCAGGAAAAACTCTATACAGCACAAGTGAACCTCAAAAACCTCTTCCTCCTGGTGTTTACATTTCTTTATCAAACATACGCATAAGCAAAACATATCTTGATGTATACGTTACTTCATTTAATTAAGGACTGATTTCTTCCTTTGAAAAAGCTTTGTATTCTAGCAGAGTACAACTGAAATAGCTGTGGCTCAGAATTGAGTTTACTTTATAAATACCACAGAACAGGCTGAAGTGTTAAAATAAAGACTGGGATTCAACCAAACAATAGCAAATAAAGAGATATCATGCAGCCTGGTTGCCAGGCTGATGACAAATGAGAACAGTACCAAAAATACAGGGGCTGGTTTGTAGAAGGAAGAGAACAAAACTATTTTGGGGCTAGTGGAGGAAAAGAGGGAGGCAAGAGGAAGTTCATTGTATGTGAATTAGAATACTGAGATGGAGAGTAAAGAAAACAATCTAAGTGGGTCCATTGAAAAGACAGGGAAAACAAAGTTTGATACATACAGCTGTCCATCCTTGCGCGTATAAAAGCTGACAGACTTGATGGTTGCAACAACGACCACCATGCAAAGTGTGACAGGTACAAACAACATAATCACATGTTTTGCCCCATATTTCAGTGTCAGCTCCTCATCTTCTTCGTCATCCTGATCCACCACTTGCTGAAGGTTATTCTGTGGTTGCCCATTGGTCTCTGACTCTGGGTTGTCATTTCTCCTGCGCTCACTATTATCATGGCGCCGTCTTTCACTGTTGTCATTCTGCAGTGCAAGAAAAGCCCTGTTTCATTAGCAACAATCCACAAACCATAGTCTTGTATATTAAGCTAAGGAAAACCTTGAGAGGAGAACGTGTGAGGTAGTGTTTGCTGTCAGACTCGCCACAGCAAGATCCTAAGCAGTAGTAACTAATGGTGTCGTGTAAATTGTTCAAATAATGGGAGCCATGGGGTTATGTTAGAAGCATTTATATTAAGAACAGCAGCACTTAGAAGCCTCTAATAGCCTCTGCTGCCTTTTCTTTAAACAGTATTTAGAAGTCAAATAAAACAGCTTTTTTCTCCTTGGTCCAAACTACAGCTGGTACACAAGTAAATGGCAGTGGCTAACTCAAAGCTTGCAACAATTAACTTAATTTGCTTCTAGAAAATCATGCCAACTGCAGGAAAGTTTCATGAAAATTACAACTTATCATATTAGATTCATTGTACAGTATGTAGATTAAGACAGAGTTATGCATTCTTCTGTTTCTACATTTTCTTTAGCAGGAAGAATGACATAAAAGTAGTATGTAAACTCAGACAATTCTCTCTCTACAGTGAGATTTGATCTCAAGGTTCTAGCATGATGACCTAAGAGTGTAGGATCTTCCTCTCCTTTCCCACAGGAGCTGAAGATCATCATTGCCACGGTCTTTTGCTAACACTGAAGAAAAATTCTACCACACTTCTCAATAAATCTGGAAAAACCTCCCAAGCTTATAGTTGAAACATATATTTTCAACAGTAGTTTCAAAAGTGTAGTTCAAACTATATATATATAGTTGAAATAGTTTCAACAGTATAGTTCAAACACTAAGACAAATGGAGGCTTCCCATATCCCACTCAGGAGCATTAGTGTAAAGCAGAAATATGAAATGGGATTTCTCCTTTTGAATGATCTTGAGCTAAAACATTTTCCATGGGTAAATGATCTGCACTCTCTGCTTGCTGCCATGAACCTTTTTCCCTGTCCTAAAACCTTTTATTTTGTATGCATCTGTAGAAACACATCAGGAGAGGAAGTTTCTTCTCCCCTGATCTAGACTAGAAAGCAGTAGAACCGTTTTATGTCTTATTCTAAATAAGCCTTCCAATCCAAGAGTTAATTCTCTTTTCTTTAATACCACCATCAAGAGTTCGTCCAAAGTCAGTGTTGTATGGCCATTCCAAGAGCTTATTGCAAAGGAGCTGCCATGCAAAGATGTTTGATTCCTTACAAACTTAATCTTATGACTGCAGAATTGCTTCAGCTACAAATCGCCCAGTCTGAACAAGCATACCAAAGCAGCTGCTATATAACATGAGCTGAAGGAAGGTACCTTCTGTAAGACCTATAAAATATCAATTTTAGTAGAACTGCGCTAGACAGAAGAAAGGGCCTGAAAAAAAAAAAAAAAAAAACCCAATGCATTCCTACTGAAGTATTATTAGATAGGTATATTTGACTTAAACACATAATGTTAAGGTCTCATTATTTGTTCTGAATCGCATTAACAGCATTTTCAAATATAAGCACTAAATTGTAGCTAAGTAACTGTCGGCCATTTTTATAAGTTAATAAAGTAATTTTGGAGATTTGTTACATAGAGCTTTCCCAATCCCACCCTCAGAAAAGATAAAAGGTTAACTACATGCTCAGGAACCCATAGCAGGGTTCTTGAAAGTGCAAAAGTGATTAAGGAGTTCAAGTGCCTGGACTTTGAACTGCAAACACCAACACTGGTAAAACCTTGGCTGAAGCATTACAGTTCCCCTGACTCATGATAGGATAATACAGTAGCAATGCACACGAAATGTTTTCTCTATTTATTTCCTTTAAAAAAAGGATATGCTCAATAGGAATTCAGGAATTGTCTGTCCTCTATGAAGTTTCATTTTTTTCTCCTATCCTCTCAAAAATAAAACTGATTATAAAGGGAAAAAATAAATTGTTTTAATTAAGCAATTAAAGCTGTCAGACAACCATACTCTCAGAATAAAGATTTTGGCCTTAATTTGAATTGCAAGGTGTTTTGTGTAAAGTCCGTCCATACAATTAGAAGTCAAACAGAAACAAGAAAATACAAGCATACAACAAAACACTGTATTTAACTCCCCTGAAAACCTGTCTGCTTTTGAATGTCCTATTGTATAAAGACAGATTACAGCATAATTATAACATTCTTCATTTTGATAGTGAAAATACTCCATTTCTCTCAGCCCATATGAGCACAACAATACATTTATACTTTTAAAGAGCTCGTTTGAGATCTCTGTCGGCAATTTTACACTGGAAAAGATCAGAGCCTTAGAACATATCAGGAGTTAAGCAGACCTAGTATTAGATTTCTGTGTGCCTGCAGAATATATTGCTTTTCCTCTGTTATAGTAGCAGTTCTGGATGAAAGAGTACTTGCATCTACCTTAAGCATGGATATATAAAAACTAAAATCAAAGACTAAACTTAGCAAACATCAACCCAGCCAAAAGAAAAGCCTGAAAAGCACAACTCTGTAAAACCCACAAAACTGAACATAAGGGGAAAATGAAATGGACCAATATTGACCGTTCCACTCTACTTGCTATAAACAAAGATACAACCACAAAATTTCTTTACATATTAAAACTTGGTGTGTGAAAATCAGATCACCATGAAAAGAACTGCTGTGAGTTATTTATTATACACATTATTCCCTCACTCACTGTTAAAGCTAGGAAACAGTCGTCCTTTCAGACTACTGAACGTTAGTGTAGCCAAATGCGCCATGCATGTGCCCCACTGCTTACTAATTAAGAGAACAAAGTGCACTCGTATCCTACCTGATCAGTATTAAAGAGAGCAGAGGCCATGGACTCTTGCTGAAGTGGAAGCAAAGGAACAGACTCTTCACTTTCCTCAGACATAGTTAAAAGTGAAAATTCTGAAGCTAAAAAGTCAGTAACACCTGTTGTAACACCGTAAGCAAACGTAAGTTATGAACTACGCGCTTTCAGGTGAATAAGCAATATCAAAAGCAAATGATAGCTTTCTTTCCTATCAAGAAAATAGTTAATAGCAAACCCAGAGCAATGCCCCTGAACAAACAGATAAAAAAAACTGACAATGTTTGATAAAATATTTTTGTTACTTCTAGGTTTATATATATTAGAAACAGACCCTCTTGCCTGACAGTGGGCACAGATTTTATTAGTTTGCATAAACACTACTTATGTTTAAAGATCATTATAAAGTGACAGATATTAAAGATTGGACTGAACAACTGGGGCATGACTGGAATGAGAGGTGGCAAATTACAGTATTTAGCAGTTTGTCATATTGACTGTTAGCCAACGAAAGACATATTAGATATACTTAAGCAGGAATGTATCTTGGTACATATGTACAAAGTCCAAAAAGGGCATGTACAAAGAAAGAAAGAAATCACTACATTTAAGTACTGAAGCTATACCTGCTGTTATGTTTAAGCATTGAAAAAACAAGCACAAAAACAAGAATACAAAAAAAAAAAAAAAAAAACAAAACCCCACAGGTAGTTATTCTGCACTGTAGTCTTCTTGGAAGTAAGCAGAAACCTCTCCCCCCACTGCTAGGAAGGGGCTTTCTACCATGACAGGGAGCCCATGGCTTATTGCTGAGTGCCGTCTTTTTAATCTGGTAGCATTCAACTAGGGCTGACTTTCCACATCTCCAAGATGAAACTTTCTTTCCCTCTGAAGTGAAAGCACAAAAAATGCAGGGGGAAAGTATCTACTTTTAGCAATAGTTTCTATAATCAGGAAGGTGTTAAATCAGTTTGACTTCTTATTTTTAAAAGACATTTTCAGGTGTTCTGTATTTTTACATAAACACTGAGATCAAGACAAGGGTTTTAAAAAGTTCTTTCTACACTGGTAGATTGCATACAAGAGTCAGGGATGAAAATATCCTTGACTCACTGCCATAAACATGGCTGCAAGTGGCCCGATCTCACAGGAGCATTTATGTGTCACAAGGCAACCTGATAATCACGAGCGCTCGCAGGAACAAGGAACCAGGTGTGACAAATCCAAGACACCACACCCAAGTAGGTCCTACAAACTTGGCCTTTCCAGAACACACATGTAGAGCAAGTGCAGTTCAGATTCACAATTGAGTAAGTATTTCAAAACAATGACTAAGCCAGAAACCGTATAAAGCTTTAGCGTTTGTGGGAGGGTTTCTAGTGTCTTTTTTTCTTCTTCTCTGCAAACCCCTATAGCTCTGAGAACTATTCCAAGGAAAATACGACCATGCTGCTCTTCCTGAACACAGTACTCCTACATAAATAACAGCAAAACCCATGCCTCAAGCTCCACCTAGACTAAAATTAACTCTGTGAACCAAGCAAGCCATGAATTAGGCAAACCACAGCCAGGCTAGATCAAAGGTGCTCAAAAAAAAAAAAAAAAAATCCCCCAACTAATAAATAAATAAAAATAATTTAAAAAAATCTCTCCCCCTTCAAACAGACAAACAAACAGAATCCCAACAACCTGTGAGCTAAAGTCTGCTCTGTGGGTCTCAATCCACATGCTGATTTTTCTACAGGGCACCGGTCAGTTTAGCACCACTTCAAACTGGGAGAGGGCTATCTATGTATAAAAGTGAGGTCAGAACATCAAAATTTATATATATATATATGTATATGTATATGTGTATATATACACATATATACACACATATATATATTCTGCAGTGCTTCTCACCACAATATGGTGGTATTGACAGATTGAGAGAATTACTCCTAACAAATGGACTTCTGTAATTCTGACCTGTATTTTCATTCACATTGATTTTTTCATCCTAACTTAACTATTTACCAGGTAATAAAGCTGTTACGTACTGTGTTGCTGAGGTGGTTATCAGGGAAATTTTCTGTCAGCTGTCCATGCTGGAACTGGGGTAAATGTGCAGATAGTTCTGTCATTGGGGCTGTCCTCAGTAAATCAGTTATTTCTATGTAAAACAGATCTTTCTTCTTGAGATGCTGAAAGGAAAAAAAAAAAAGAGTTAAAAAATGGGATCTTTTATGACCAAGATCCCCATTGCCCCACTCAATTTTTAGGGTTCCTGCAGACTACACACAAATATTCTTCTGTTTTCTCTACTGCAATACCGAGCTGCAACACGTCATCATGAAGATACCACAATAGGGATTTTCCAGGACAAAAATAAAAGTGTCTGGACTTTATCAAATTAGTTCATCAGCAACGGAAATAAGGCAACAAAAAATTAGCCATTCAAAACAGTTCTCCAATCTACCTTACGCAATGAATGAGAAGCACTGCACAAATTGCTCAGTGTGACCTTCTGCTTGTACATTTTTATTTCACCACAGTACAGTTGATACAGATTGTTCATTTTTGGACTGGTGATATGCTCAAGGACAAGCTTCAAGCTTGCTGGGAAGATGATCAAGTTACACCTGATCATTTAAAGTCTGAATATGATTCACATTTAATACTGCAACACGCTAGCAGCTATCGAGAGCTAGATAAAGCAATATTGTAGCTGAGCCTCAAGAACTAACATACATCCCTTTCCCCTCACAGTAGCTATTATATATTAAATGTACATCGTGTCATATACTTGCAGCAGCTTTATACATCTTATGTTGAAAACATGTACAGATGATTTCTGCAACAAAAATGAGCAAAGCAGAAGTTTCTCAGTAAAAAAAAAAAAAGGAAGATAAAAAAGGGGAAGAAGAAGAATACAACTACACAAGTTTTAGAGAAAAAAAAAAAAAAAAAAAAAAGAAACAATACCCCAGCTTGAATAAACCACTGGCTTTCTCGCACACAGCAGCGAACTGCACTAACGGCCACTGGTGCTAAGAGGAGAGTGCCAGCCCAACTCACAGCCCCAGCTGCTCCTGCTCTTACCTTGTGCCAACTCCGGCACTCACCGGTTCCTTCCAACACATTCAGCTTAGGAGGAATCAAATCCAGCAAGAAGACTAGATGTTTTTTGGTTGGTTGGTTGGGTTTTTTTCCTATTGTTTTAATACACTCAGCCAGTATACAGAAGAATCTGGAAGAACTGGTCCAAGAGTACACCCAGACCCTTAGCACAAACCAAGGCCTCTCGCTTTGGTAGCGGCAAGACAGGAAACAGTATCTTATTTACACACACAGCTAAGCCTCTTTTCACACACAAAGATGCATAGAAACTGTTTCTCTACTTACAAATAAATATCTTACAAAATTAGCACACGGCATTTACTAATTTCAGCAGGGAGATGTAACTTACACTAAAGTACCATTAGGATGTAACACTGATTTAGTAAGTCTAGTGGGATCATCCTAACTGTTGGCAAAATGAAAAACATTTGGAGCATTCACCAGGAGAACAGCCCTTTTCCAGGCCTGTAATTAAACTAAAGCACATGCAATCAACATGTAATGAAATGTAAGATTAGATGAAAATAAATAGACATTGCGTTAATTTTAAAGTCTTTGCTCTAAAGCTTTGGTTGGTCTATAAAATATAAACAATGGAGCTATGGAGATAACCTGTCTAAATTTTCAGTGACAAAGCCCTATAAAGAAACGTTTAAGCATTTCTATCCAAACGTACGGTATCAGAACGATGACTTTATTTGTTTTTCGGAAAGCAGCAGGCCAGAATCCTAGTGAAGGACAGGAAGAAAAAGCTCCCCAAGCCCTACAAGCACCAAGTCTTGGTGAAGCAGCAGGATGAGGAGAGGCACCAGGCAGGCAGCCGGATCCTGGGAGCGGCTGGGAAAGCGGAGCACAGGGTGGAGCACCTGCCGCTGGCTCCGCGCCCGGAGGACGGTGTCTAACAGGTTACACACAGCCCTGCCTTAGCACCCAGGGGCTCGGCAAACGCACTCGGCACGTCTTCCAGAAGCATTTTATTTCTATCACACCAGGAATGAACACTCCCAAGTTTGTAACCCAGCCATTCCGAGAACAAAGTCCAGAAACAAACCGTAAATAAACAGAAGCACATTCAACTATCTCTTCTTTTACCTGAATAAAAAAGGGAGCTCAGAAAATATTTTCCTTACCAGCATCAAAATCTCCCAGCAGTAAAAAAGCTTGCCTTCACAAGCTCTTTTTCTCCCCTTTTGCATTTCCCTAACAAGACTGCAAGGGAGTGACGGGGGCAATTTTCGCGTGTTTGTATTCAGCTTTGCGGCCACGCGCAGGAAAGCTGGGTTTTATTTATTTATTTATTTGCAGGTTAAACGTGCGAGGCGGCCCCGCT